AGTCTTTCTCTACAAACCTACATATATCTCGGTTTTTAGTCAAAAATTGACCTATAAGTTATAGCCGCCTTTGATTACTAATCCTGACATCTACATGCGAATTTGACTTAATACTTTATGAGGGAACGTTTCCAACTTGTACTCTGTTTGAATTTCTACTTTGCTCATAAAGTAAGAATCATAGTTTAGATGAAATTTATGCCTTTCTTCTCGAGTTATAATTGTTTAAAATTGAACTTTTAGCATATTACAGGATNCTTGTTCTTTTGGGCTTCTTCTAGACTCACTAACGCCTACATGATGCGCATAGTCTTGACTCAAAAGCGATTTTACACTTACATATGTTACCTCGTGAGCTTGAGTCTTTTCATAAGAAAATACAGTTTAGATTCTTTCCTAATTTTCACTGTTCACTAAAAGTTTGATTATATAATTTTCCATACGTAAAAACTCATGTTCTTTTTCTGAAAATGTATGAATGAATGCCATCAGAGACTGTCTCTTGTTTATAATTAAAGAATATGACCTTTCATGATGATGTTTTTTTTTTCTAAATTTCAACTTTTTATTATTTCACTAGAACTTAAATTTGAATTTCAAACACATTGATCAAATATTTCATGATCAATTTAACTAGCCGTACCCAAGATTCAGTCATGCATGAAAGTTAAGACTTTTTCTTCGGCAAAATAAAATATAGATTTTGAATGTATTGTTAAGAACTTAATATAACAACTAATGTGTAAATATTTACAAAAGCATTCGTACTCTAGATTAATGAAAATGTACTAAAAGATGTTCTTGTTGTAAATTCACTTGAATCATGCGAATTTGCATCGAATGAAAAGAAAACAAAAACTATCAACCAACGATAAAATGTGTTGTTTGGTAATATATGTTGTTATAAAACAGATCGATAGAATAATAATATTAGTAAATGAAATTAATATCAAAATAACAAAATATTGTTAATAATTTTCTATTTCTAATACTTTGCTTACATTTTGAAATTCATTTGACAAACGACAAAATACATAGACACGTGTAAGAATAGCAACAAGAGTTGTACTTGAAATCAACAGAAAAATAGTACTCAGTTAGAAAAAAAAGTCTTTTGTTTGGATGTCAAACGATTATGAAAGAAAATATTAATAATCATTTATATTGTTCGTATAGAACTTGTAATATTTTTTTTTATGAATAGAAAAAAGACATCACATGCGGAAGCATAAACAATAATACGTACTAAAAATTTGAATGAATAAACGATTTAAGGTTTTTTGTTGAGATAAGTACAATGAAAAATAGATGTATAAATTAATTAAGTATCAATATTTTTACTTTTTTTTTGTGTTGTAGATAATCGTCTTCTCATCTATGAAAAAACAGTTTGATGTTTTTGTGAAATGTTTTTTTTTTTGGTCTCTATTTTATAATTATGTTATAGTCAAAAAGAGCAGCAAATACAATTTTATCATTCATATGCGTGACAATCATAAACAGAAAGACCATGTGTAAAATTAATTCTTTTATTAAAAAACCGTTTTGATAATAAAATATAAGAAGAAAAAAAAAATCTATACAAAGGTAGTTTCTTGAAAGTACATATAGAATATACTTTTATGTAGTAGATAAATTAAAAAGTAGTACAAAAATTAACACCAAATTGTTTTCTATCATATTGAATAAGAAAACAAAACAATGATAAATAAATGAATGTTCAAATGTAAATAAAAGATAGACGAATTTTATGCAATCAAAATAATTTCTATTTCCAGTACTACTATTTTATGAATAAACTTTCTTATATACAGTTGATATAATGAAACAGAAAAGCTATGAATTCATACAAAAGAATTTTAGACATGCTATCTGACTAATTATGATGGCTCAAATTTATTTTTTATTTCTATTTCTTTGATTTAAATAAACTTCTTTTTTTCTATATTAATTTTTCGTTTTATTCTATCAGACATCAAGAATACATGAAAAAAGGCTAACGATCAACAAGCATGATTGAAGTTGAGCGCTCAAAGTCTCGGACACAAAACAATCGATCTTACTCATTTTAAGTTTTTACGTAGGTTTTCGTATATTCTGCGTCAATTTATACAATTTCTTTTTAATAATTAAGAGAAGAAATGATAGTCACCAGTCAAAATTCAGTATTTTTGTGCAAAAGTGGCTTGAAAAAGCTCTTTTGTCTCGTGTCATATTTCAAAAACAGTAGTGACAGCTTGAAATACAAATGAACATCATTACTTTGATGTTCTAAACCGATAATTCCAAAAACGAAATATAATTTTATATATAGGATTTTTGTTAAAAAAATTCATGTCGGTGCGTTACCTAATGTTTTGTCAATAGCTCACTCATTTTTCAAGGCATCAGTATTTTTTCTTTATCAAAAGATAGCCCTGACTTTTAGCTACAAAATCCTCTCCCGTACAATTCATTAGCATGGAATAAATAGTTCGCAAGGTTTATCACTTCTTTCGCATCTACCAAGAACCGAGGATCTTTTTTGTCTGTGCGTTACCGACCAGTGTTTTACTCATAAAATCCAAACAGATAGATAGTTGAGGCTCAAACTTTCAAGTGTTATAGAATTTGTTAACTTACTTATTTTTTAAAAATTACAAGTTCTTCCCTCTTATCATTCTCTAGATACATTCGTTGAAAGTTGAAAAATGTCTGTGTGTTACCTGCTTTTTTGCATGAATAGCTATTAAAAGAACTTTTCCCAAAATATTGAAAGATATTTTACGCATTGAATTTAAAATTCCCAAAAAAAATTCATTTTATAAAAGATATAATATCTAAACATTTACGAAGAAAACTTAAAAAGATATTTAATTTTGAAACTCTGATAAAATTGTATAATAATTAATTGGTATATGTTTTCTTGTATATATATGCCCTTGGAGAGTAGTATATTAATAAAGCAGCAGAACACTTGTTCGAGTGAAAAAACCAACAATTATCCTCCATAAAGAAAGGACGAAGGTCAGATAAGGATACTTTTCTCTTCAACATGTCTGAAAACGAAAAATACGTCACTATATTAAGTCAACCATGGATAACATCATGTGCATGTTTATTTACTTTCGTTTGATAGCAAGCTTTTTCGCATATGAAATTTGTTTTCTCTTTGTTTTGAGTCAAACAAATATATAAGACATTTCAATATGTGCAGCAGCTCATAGAACTAATTTAAGAACGAAAATCCTAGTTAATTGATGTTTTCATGTTTTATATTCTTGATGAAAAAAAAAAAACTTGTTCTTTTGAAAGAAAATTATTATTTAATAGTGAAAAGTCATAATTTTCAAATCATCATTTCACAGTTGCTGCATGACATACGTCACATCCTATATGTTTAACTGACAAAATTAGTGTCATATCGGAGAGAGAACACTAGATTACCTATATTAAATATTACCTGAGCATGACAGATCCTATGCAGATTGATAGGAAAACATCGAAATTGCTTTATTTATAAGAGTTACTAACATTGAAAAACAGTAAGAACGGTTAAGTCATTTCCATCATCACGGTTTTGTTCTAGAAAAAGAAATCACATGACGATAATAAGTCAATCATGAACTACAACTTAGGCATACTGATTCCTCTTTATTTCTCATCATGATTTTTCTCATCTATATTCTTTTGCAGTTCTCGGGGACTAAGAAAAAATGTTTTCCCTGATTTTGGAACAAAACACATGCCATAGTATCGAATTTATGGTATTAATTACAAATATTTTCTCAGCTTTTTTTCTGAACCATTTTAAAAAGTAAGGAGATGAAATATGCAACGCTTTATCGTATATTAAAAAACAACCCTATCTATTTGCTTTTTTAGGTCATTTTAGGCCTAGTATAATGCCCTAAATCGTTGAAAAAATATTCAATATAAGTAATTGAGTACACTCTATCTGATGAGACATTAATTTTGACAGTTAAATGTATAGAACGATGTACGTCAAGCAACAATTGTAAAAAAATGATTTAAAAATTAATGACTTTTCACTGCTAAATAGTAGTCTTATTCAGAAATAATAATTTGTTTTTTTTCTGCTTCAAGGATATATTTAAATAGAAAATAAAAAGCTAGATTTGCCTATACCACTTTTTGAAGGTAACCTAGTAAAATAACGAAGTGATATAACTTCCAAAGAAGTCGCACAATATCAATTGACTTAAGTTTTCAATACCGATTTAAAAGTTGTTTACAAACGTTTATAGCACTGTAAAAGATAGATGACAGGCAGTCAAAAACAAATAATGACACCTCATTTATTGAAATAGTTTAGAGAAAAAAAAGATAATATTCGTAATTATCATCATCAACTCTATATTTTTGCATTTGTTCGATTCAAAACAAAGAGAAAACAACTTTAATTGCGAAAAAGCTTCATATCGAACGTAGGTGAATAAATAAGCCTATATTGTTACCTATAGTTAGCTTATTATTGTGACAGGTTTTGTTTTTCGAAAACATGCTGAAAAGAAAAGCATTCTTATTGACTCTCATTTTATAGTCCTTACGATTGCAACTGATAGACAATCCGAAAAAAAAACGTGTGCGTAATAACTTTAAAGAAATGATTTATTTTTTTCGTTGGTTTCTAATTGCTCTCACTTTTTATATTTTTCATACATTTAATAACCAAACTTCATTTGCTATGCTAGTCAATATTAACTAAATATATGTGAATAAAAATCTTTTTGAAATAAATTTTTCGTTGTTTATTATTTAAGTCGAGTAAATTAAAAAGAGTAATAAAATTTTCTCTCATTTTTACTGTTTTATTAAACTATGAGCACAAGAAATCTATATATAATAGCGTCACCTATCATCATCTAAATGTGTTTGCTAATTTTAACCACCTCTCTCGTAAGTTCTTTTTTTCTATTATTTTTGTTGTCATCTCAACGAACTGTCTTCACATTCATGTGTAGTCTTGTCAAAATAACAGTAAAATATATTTTATAAAAATGTTATCTTTAAATGATGCTGCTGTAAGTCTTTATTATATTTTTTATATTCGAAATTATTTTCATATTTTATTTAGCATAATGCTGAACAATATTCAGCTTTTGTTGAACGACATATGGATGCACGTCGACAACGTATTGAACAACTTGATGCTTTTGTTCGTCATCGACTTCGTCTATATCGACAAGCGCAAGAACATGTTCAACGACAAACAACAAATAAAATTGTACAAACTAAAGATAGTTTTTTTTGTTCAATTCTTATTCTATATGTATTTTTTTCTTTTAAATAGGTCGAAGCAACTACTTTACCGCCACCGCCACCACCAGATAATACTATTGTCGTTTTATCACAACGATCTTCAACACCAATTCTTGAAAAATCATCATCATTTCATAATCCAATTGAAATGACAAATCGTGTTCGTCTTAGTAAACAACGTTTAGCATCAAAACAACTTAGTCAACCTGTTAATACTTCGTCTACTGATGATACACCAATTGTTGGAACTTGGCTTAATCCTGCACCAGCAACAATAGTAAAATAATGTTTAATTTTTTTTTCTTCATTCTTATGATGTTTTTTCTTTCTATAGACAGATAATGATGAACAACAATGCCCTTCATCAGGTAATTTTTTATTGATTGAAATTTCAAAAGAATTTTGTTTTTTTTTTTGTCATTCTTAGAAAATACATTGCGTCGATCAATGAGTGAAAATCGTCTTTCGTCATTTGCACTTAAAGCATTGACTGGTAAAGAAAAGAGAAAAATGTATAAATAACGGGTAATCGGAAAGTTTTTCAACAAGATGTTTGATCGACTAGAAAATATTTTCGATAAGTCAAAAGCTATGAGTTAAAATGTTCTTCCTAAATATGACCTTAAAAATTTTATTCGAGTGTAGTGAAATAATCTTTGATAGATTCAAAAAATTATTTTAGATGGAAAACAAAAAGTTCGCATCTTTATTTATATATGAGCTTATAGATTAGAAGCTACCCTACAACAAACTACATATTTTTTTGTCTTTCGACAAGACACCTCAATTTTCGTTTTTCTTAAATATTCATTTTTGAATAATCGACAATCGTTTTACGTTGAAATAATCTCTTGGAAAAATACTTGGGTAAAAGCTACAGCTTAGGTTAATATTACATTTTGTAGATAAATGTCTGCTCTACAAAATGACCAACTTCGATAATTTTTAGCATATACAGAAATGGATATATAGAGTAAACAAAAACCTATTGATTCATCATTAAAAGCAATTTTTCAAGTCTTTCAAAAAGTAGTTTATTACTCTCGAAAAACAAAATAGACGCAACATTTCTAAGCTTATATTCGAAATCTGGTTGTGACCTATGGTTTTTAGTTTGTTTGTAATGTTTTTAAACAGGTCAACATGAACAAACATATTCACCGAAAACTTCGACCCACAAATCCTATTCGAAATATTTTCTAGCGGTTTAAAACTAAACAAATATCTTGTCTAAAAGTTTTCCAATCACATGTTATTTTTCTTTTCGTAAAATTATTTTTAAAAAAATCATATAGATTCATTAACTGATGGTTTAACCAATGTTGAAAATCGAAAACGTCTTCAAGCAACACGTGCTTTATTTATGACTATTGAGCGACGGCAAGTTAAAGAGGCTTCACTTTTAAATAAACAAAATAAAGAAATGCAACGGTTAGCGTAAAAGCTTCTTTTTTTTTTAAATCTTATAATTTTCATTCAATTTTCTTTATGTAGTCTTGTGGAACTTAAAGAAGCTGAACGTTTACATCAAGAAGAATCCTTAGAACAAAAACAAGTACCGACAATTCATACTATTTCAGGTTAAAAAAATCTTTATTTATTTATTTTTTATTTATATTTATTGTATGAAAATTTCTAGATGAACCTGTTATTGATGTTAATAGTATTGATCCAAAACAATTAGTTCGTATTCGTCAACAACGTATTCATGAACAAAAACGACGAGAACTCGAACGGTATACTAAATTTTTTTAGTCATATATATTTTATTGATTAGTAGTTTTAAGATGGTTATAAAAACTATTTCGACTAAGTGTATCCTAGACATATGACACCCGGTACGTTTGTGAATCTGTTCTGTTTTGAGAATTGAATATAGGAACTAGTTGTTTTTTTCAGCAACTGGAACAGTTATGGAATAGAATCACTACATTACTATTATCAATAGACATAATTCATATGAAAAGAACTAGTCAATCGACTAGACATGTGTGGAATCAATTTTAATATATGGACTGAGAACACGGGAAAGAAAAATTGTTGAGATCAGTACTACTAGGAAAGGTTGTTCTAGTCGAAACTGAAAGTTATAGTTTCAAGCTAATTATCTTATAAATCATATTAAGGAGAACATAATTCAAGGGAGATCATCCCTAATAAAGTGCTAATCGTCAACTAAATAAATAAAACAAAATAAGTATTAAAGAATTATTTTATATGTAATATGAATAAACTCTAGAATAGTCTTATATTGACTGAGATCAAAAAGTCTTGGGCTCTGCACTGGACTCAGGTTTTAAAAAGAAAAGAATATTTAATAATAAAGAAAAATAAATTTTTATTTGTTACAAAATTCATTTTATACATCTTTGTACTAGATTCATATCTAGCATGAGGAATTCTTTTATCAGAGATCAGAAATGTCCATCGCGCTGCTGCCGCGGCAAGGTATTTTGAAAAAGCATCGCGACGCGGCGGCGACACCTTATTTCTGGAAGACATTGGAAAAACTGCATGAATTTGCACAAAAATTGAGTGTCCACAGACGAAACACTCTAAGACTCAATGAATCTCACTGATTAATGATAAGAATTGTATTTCAATACATTCACAGCAATGAAATTCGAAACTTTTTTTTCGAGTACCATCGCGGCATCGCCGCTGCAGATTTTCTCTCCAATCTCCGCGGCGCGGCAGCGACAGATTTCGAGCCGCGATGGACATCTCTGTTAGAGATATATCACTTGTTGTTTACGCTTGTATTTTGAATTTTGTTTTAGATACATTCGAGCACTAAAAACATCATTAAGAGAACGTTGTTCAAAACGTAATATTAATGTACCAACATTATGTTCATGTCATTCAACGATTTGGGATGCTGATCCAATGACATGTTCACGAAATTGTTCATTTTATCGAAATCCTGCTGGTAATCTAACAAATTTTTATTTGATTTAAATAATTGTTTGTTTTTGTTTTTGCTTGTTAAGCTTTTGCAACATCACTTCACAGTTTACTTACATCATGTCAAGTCACAAATTAAAAGAATGATTGTTTTTTTCTTGTTTCTTCTTTTTTTTGTGTTGAAAGGAATAATGACGAATAGTTATTAGTAATGAATATGAATTATATAAGCTGTTTTTTTTTGTCTTTGATTTTAGATAGGTGATCTATAAATTTCAGTTCAAATCAATGGTATGTATTAATTCTTAAGAATTTTCGAAATTATTTTATATGTAAGAATAAAAAATAAAATGAAAAATTTACTTTATTTCTAATTATAGGCTCGAACCAATTTGTCCGTTTTACCTGACGTCAGTCTATGTCTTCGGGATGCAATGGATCTTATATTTAATAATGATAATCATAATAGACTAAAATCAAATGATCACATAGTTATAACACCTGAAGACAACGATGTAATTGTTGATATAATTAATGATGACGATGATAAAATACCGATAGATGCTTCACAACCATCGATTAATAAACGAAAATTAGTAAACACTGCTAGTTTAAATCATGAACAACAAAATGAAGGTGCAAAACGTTTATGTACACCAAATGGTCATCAATAGCAAAACTATAAAATCGAATTTTTCAACAAACAAGAAATTGATTTTCTTAAATCAATTTTATCTTGTTTGAGTTTTGTATTTAGTCTTATTATCATTGTATGCATATTGATAGTATTTTTTCGTTTAATATACAGTAGTGAACAAAAGTTATCGCTTGTAAAGCATGTCAGCTGCTATAAATGTTGAAAGCATGAAAAGTTTTATGAACATACCTCATGAAGAATATAGATCATAGATACAATTCTGTTACGATTATTTAAGTAAAAGGATCATTATGACAGATCGCATCCAATATTTATATTAAGCTTCTTAATCGCAAAAGGATTGTCTAGTACATTTTGTACTACTCATTACTAAGCACATGATTCATTTTGGATGGTTTTGAATTGAACTAAAATTCAGTCCTAAGTCTTTATTTACCGAAAAGATGAGTCCATTTACTTGAATATTGACATGTCTGTATGCTTGTGAATTCTTCATCTGATCAACAAGATGGTCATTAATTATGTCATTACTTATCAGTACACGGTTTGTTTATGAAACTTGTAGGCACTCATGTCTAATTGTAGAGATAGCTTTTCTAAGAGTCTGAACTTCATTTGCTGAATTATTACGGCGTTGTCGTCTTGAAAATATACATGATGATTTTTCTTCATATGAATAGTCACAATAAAATGGCCACAATGCGAGAGAGACGTGATGAACTTTTATAAAATTACTTATATAGAAATCTAGGATACAACACAATATAATGAATTGTTAGCTGACCTAGAAAGCTTATCTTTCACGGAAATATGAAATTCAAAGACGATATAAGTATCATCCGTCATAATTTTCTTTGTACTTAAGCAATTGAAACAGATTTATGTCTCTGACTGATACTCTTGAAGAAAGTATATGCACGCACAAGTCTTCATTCCACCAATTCCTGTAAATATTGAGATTCTTTAGGGTAGAAATTTTACTTCACTACAACATTTTATTTCTATACACTATAAAGTAATTATACTAATCGTTTACAAAAATAATTTGAATGTTCATTTAATAATAAATTAAACCTTAACTAGAAAAAAACAATATTTCGATGAGTTAATTCGTCTCATCATAATAAGTTTATTCATCGTCCATTGTATCAGGTTCATTAGACTTGTTCGTGACATGTCCACTAGGTACCAATGTATCATCACATACAGCACGTATACGGCTCATAAAGCGAAGATAAGTTGATATTGGTAATACTTTATTACAAGAATGTAGAAGTTCAAATTTTAATGAACGATACATTGATATAGAATTTGTCTTACACATTGTGTAAAGAATAGATAATTCTTCACCATTAATTCCTTGACAAAGGAATGCCATTGCTGAAAGATTATGTTTCATTAAAAATTCTCGAACATTGTCTTCGTTCCAATTTAAAATATTATTTTTGTTAACTTTTACATTTGTTGTATTTTGACTATTTGATACTTCTTCTTTAATATCATCCTTATTTTCATTAGATGTAACACTGTTTTCTTCCATTCTAAAGTAATATTTCTGAATTCTTACGAATGAAAACCTTAATTATTTTATCTTACTTAACATCTTCTTTAGCATCTTTATTTGTTTTCTTTTGCAATTGTATTTCATTATCAAGTAATTCGATCGCTTTATCAAATTCATGTGTATCGAAATCGATATACATTCGTGTACCTAATATAAAACCTAACCATCCATCAGGTACATAATCTTTATTCATTTTAATTGGAACCATATTTTTTTTACGATTAAATGCATATTCAGCTTCGGATTGACAGTTTGCACTTCGTTTATATGTATCGGACATACACATTAGAATAAATTCAGCATTTTCAACTGCTTTTGCCTATAAACAAAGAATAACATTTACTAATTTACATAATGAGAAATTTCAATACCATTGATTCAATTGTTGATCCATGCATTTGTTCTTGATCAAGCCAAACTTTATAACCAAGTGTTTCAGTTAAATGTTTGAAGATACGATGAGCTAAATCCATATCAGCCCATGAATAAGATATCATAAGATCATATTTTTGTTCTTCCTCTCGTTCTTCTTCAATACCAGTTTCTTGAACTTGTTGTTTTTTCTTTTCTTCTTCAGCAGCTTGTTCTTCTACGAATTTTTCTTCTTTTTCTACTTTCCAAATGACACCTTCAGCTGCTTTTTCTAATGTAATATTATCATCATTCTTTGATTTCTCAAGTAAATCACTAACACAAGCCATTAAATTTTGATCTTGTTTTAGCTTGTTCGTCGCTTCACTACCCGTGAATGTACATGACCAAAGTATTTTGAGAGCATCTTCTAGTTGATTAGTACATTTTTCATATGAATCACGATCACAAACAAAAGATATGAGTTTGTCGAGTCCACCTTGTTTAATGAATTCATTTTTTATCTGCTCATGTTGCATCAATGCTACAAAATAATAAAAAGAAAATGTTTAATATATTCAATAAACTTTTTCAAACAATAAATAGTAATCCAAGGTTCATAATCTAATTTGTTTTTCTCTGAATATCATACCATTTAGACTCGATAATGCATTGTTCATATCTGGTTCATATTTATTTGGATTAAGTTCTTTGAGTTGATCAGTAAAAACAGCAGTTATTTCACTTGGATTATTATTAATTTCTTGTTCATCCATAATTTCTGCAAGAATAGCAAATGCTAACTTTCGTTTTTCACCCATTTCAATAGGTGTATATTTCTTGAAGAGAGATGTTAAATGTAGTTTTTTCATAATAGCACGAATGTCAGAATTTTTCGATAAATTAGAGAATGCTTCTAAAGCAGCCATGATCAATGCATCATCATTAGGATTAGTTACTGATAGGTTTTCGAAAATTTTGATTAAATAATCAATAATATTTGGTGCATGTTTATCAAAAGAAGATAGTTTGGCAACACTAAGAAGTTGTTCACATCGATCGAATATATAAGAAAGACTAGAAGGTGAAATCGTTGGTGATTGATCAAGAGTATCTTCGAATCGTGTTAAAAGTTGATCATAAATATCATGAATGATATCAATTTGATATAATGAGTCCTTCGGATCTTGTAAAGGTAATGCGATGACAGGTATATATTCCCAACAAGTAAACAAAAGAAATTGATCAATGTCATTAAGTGTTTCGTCATTTTGAAATTGATGCACTGCTTGAATATAATCATATGAATCAATACAATTCAGCACCACTAAATTATATAAGATTTTAGTAGTGACACATGAATTATGTAAAAAAAAAAATTTATATAGAAAAACTTACAAAGTTCGATTAAACATGTATTGTGTTCCGTACGATGATAGAATAAACATTCTTGTAATAATTTTATTGTTAACAAACCTAATGTACATATATTTGGATCATCATTAATACCGTATTTGTGCATAGCAGAATCTTCAATTTGTTCACGTACTAAAATGAGAAGCCTTCTTGTTGCTAATAAATCTGTTATTCTTTGTCGTTCTTCATTGGCATCAAATTCAAATGCGAATTCAGCAGCATGAACAAAAATAAGTACAATCTTAAGAAATATGTCCGATTCTTGAATGCTTAGACGCATTTCATATGCTCGCCAATCATCTAATAGATCAATAAGTATTTGATGTAGAAAATGTACAAGTGGATGACGAAGAACTTGTGGATCAAGTAATTTATATGGTAAAATTGCTAGAACAGCATTTGTTATTTCTTCTACAGAATCTAAAAACATTTTTTTTGTTGTTACATCACTCGTTTCCATTCGTTCAAATTCAGTAAGAAATGCACGAAACATAGTACAAATATCATTTGAAGAAAGTTTATCATCAATTGAATCTTGTTGAATAGCAGATAAATTAGATTGAGTGACCATTCTTGGTGAGAACCGTGATAATGTATCGTGTGTTGTCATGAGACTGGAAGTTTAATTAGAAACTTAGACTTATATTTAAAAAAGTCTACAATGAATTGGTAAATGTCAGTCAAATCTACTCATCAAATAAAGTCTGAAATACCTGTGTATATGTTTTTTTTAAACAAACAACAAAAATATGCTTGATTAATGAAGGAAAACGTGCTTTATATACATTTAATTGTGTCGAGTTTTTGTGATTATATTTGTCTAACTGTAATGCTATTGTTGATTTGGCTTTCATTTCATGAGGAAAGAAAAACAAGCATCCAACGCATATGCTAGGTATCATCATTGCATGTATATATTTGTGTACATGCGACATATTTGTTCTATTATATGATGATTACTTAATGCACTATCGTTTGTACAATCTAGTAGATAGAGTAATACGAAAATTATCTAAAGAAAAAGAACAACATTGTCAAAGTGTGATTGATCACTCGTATTGAAATACGACTCCATTGGATTATTATTGAAGGACATTAATTCGCTACGACAACATCATTTACTGATATTACCAATAAACAAGGACTAAATGATGATTTTGAGTTTTAAAATTGCATGCAGTTCTCTTTATCTATAAGATACATATTGAATATTTCTTTGTTTAAATAAGACATGTTTTTAGTAAAAATAATCATTTTTGTTTCTTATATTGACAAATTTACATTATTTGATATTGTTCGTTTCTATGATCTGTGCAATTTATCAGATATGTTGAATAATAATATTTTCAGTAATATATTTTGGACGATAAAAAAAAAAACAGAAAATATTGCATTACATGTGACTGACAAAATAATACGAAAAAAAGATTTAAGATTTCCTCTTTAAATCAATAAAAACAAGAAGACTTTCACTGAATTATCCTTTTCATTGAATGTAAAATGGATTAGAACCGAAAGAAATCTCTTTCTTACGACTTTGTATTCAAGAATATTAATTCTTTATATTGTCATTACCTGTTGAGAAGTGAATTCTTGATTAGACTCATAACTATCTCAACTTACCAAATAATAATTTTTCCAATCAGAAACATTGAAATTTTCATAGAAGTTTTATCGAACAGTCATCTCATATTCTGAACATGTCAGAATAAAATTAATAACTATTTTTGACAATAAAATATTGTAATAGTTAGATAAAGAAAAAAATCAGACGAGAACGAGATTGAGTATAATGCTTCTATTAATAAATTTATTCAAATTCATTTTATTTAGTGATCATGATCATTATTTGAATAAAACATCTATTGTTAACATGAATATAGTATCAGTGAAAATATTTTAAAACTCTGACAATTCACTTTATGCTTTGTCTTCAAAAAAGAATGTAGACATTTGTCAGTTTACTGAACATTTATAAAATAAAATTGTTTGTTTTGGTTACCGTAATAAATATTTTCTATGAATATGTACAGGGTTGGAAATAATATTTTGCTCGAGGGGTAACGCAATAATTTCAAATAGGGTATGTAATGAATTTTAGACCAAATGAAAGCTCGTCGAAAATGGAGTTTATTAATGCTAAAACATTTGGGTTAGGAAAACTTTCGTATGGTGAACTGTTCAAATTTGTAGTATTTTACCGACTACAAGTATGAGAAAAATTATTCATGAGATAAACTTCGAACTAAATGTGATCCAAAATTGTTTATTTTTTCATCATTTTATCAATGCAATCAATATTTATTATGACGACCATTTGCGTTCTTTAGTTTCACGAAGTTGAGATGGATATGAGCATAGAAGAGTTTCAAATAACTCGGTATCTGTTTCCATGTTTGCTAAAATATTTGAATGGTGCATTTTGAGCGTATCTTCAAGATAACGATTATGTTCAGTTTCTGATAACATTTTTTTCTCAACTTCATCTTTGATTATTGTTCCAATATGTTCTGCCCTATTGAGATCGGGTGAATTTTCTGATCTGATATCATTATCACAAAATCTAGCATCGTTGTTTTGCAGCAAATGTTGCGTCCTATATGCTCGCATACACAGTGCTTTATCATGGACAAATATAACTTCATCTGGATCAATAACATTTTCTTTGTTCTTTAAGAAAGGAAATACATTTTAAGTCCAAATTGTATCATGAAAATATTGACCGGTCCAAGATTCACCTTTATGTTTGATCATCCAGAGTAACTTCTTAGCCGTAAACATAATAAAAATCCCAATACATGATTGACGTTTCACCATTTCACGATATCTTTCATTGTCTTCAATGTCCTCGACACTTCTTGCCAATATTCGATCATGCTGATAATTTGGTCTACGAACAACCCACACAAAAAATTCGTCAAATGGTGCGAGATGAAGAAAGTCCTCTTTGATCCAATCTTTAAACCAATCACACAACCATAATCGATCCGATATATGAGTTTCAGATTTCAACGGTTGTGGAATAAGATAGAAAGGTTTTAATCTTTCTCTATGATGATAATTATTGATTGTTTTTGGTAGGACATACTCCTTTGGCATTTCTGCAATCTTCTTCGTCACAGCACAACAACTTTTTCTTTGTCGGCCACTCGCTTGAAGAATGATGTCTTCACTTGCTTGTGATAATTTAAGTTTAGGACCAGCGTTTGAATAATCACCAAAGCATTGGTCATATGATTTTTCCTACCAGTCACTAACAAACCCAATCGAGGGTGTGGGCGTGGGTGTATATTTGGGCTACAGACAACATGCAGACTTAGAACAACGCCTATCCACACCAACACCACACCCCACACCCACACCCACCCACACCCACACCCTTCTAATAAATATATAAATAAAATAAAACTTCTCTAATCAATGAACAGTAAATGGTGCACACGTTTAATTAGGTATACTTGTACATCGTTTCGACTTCTTTATAAAGCAATCTCAAAACAAATGTTCTTTTATAAAAGAAAAATGACTTTAAAAAAAAATTTTCTTTTACTTTATAGAATTATAATATCTTTATTATTTATTTTTTCAGTCACGAAAACACTCTCTATCATCATGGACATTTACATCTGATACAATTTTAATGGATTATTTGGAAAAAGAAATTTCACTTTCTGAAAAGTAAATTTTTATATCATTGATTAGTCTTTTTTGATGTTAAAGAAAGAAAATTGTTTTTTGTTTTGCATAATCTGCTAATACATTTTTTTCTTTAACAACTTTGATCTTCAATGAATAACATTTCGTTGTTGCTTTAACATACAAAACAAAATTCAAAAACGTTTCACTTAATTCATATTGAAAAATTCTTACGACTCTTTTACAAAAAGAAGTTTCAATACAACAAAACAAACAAATATTCGAAGTTTTATTTTATTATAACCATACAAAAAGTGTATCTTCATCTGTCGTGTTAGGAACTTCTGTTCGAAAAGAACGGATAATTGAATTCTGTAGATCTCGTAATTTTTTCTCATAAAGTTTACCATATTTAATACAACCAATAATTGTGAGAAAATTTAATTTCGAAAGACCATTGATAAGTATATGTGATATTTTAATGAATTGATTGCTATTACTATCTAGTAATATGGCTTGCAAATGTGGTAATCGTTCGACAATTAAATAGGCAATATTTATCAAATTTGGTTGATTCCAAAAAGTAATAAGATTGAGTTGTCGTAATCCATTTGACATAAGCATATTGCACAAAGGAGCATCGTTAAGAAAATCAATTGATGTTTCCTCTTTTAAATTAATTTTACTAGCATATTCTGATTGGTAATGGAGTTCTAGAATACGTAGATTAGTCAGTTGTGAAAAGAGAAAGTGAAGATGAATTGAATTGAATGGTTGAGCAATAATAAGCGATATGACTTGATGCCAAGGAACGATAGGTGGTGACAAATAAAGAAACTCATCGTTGATTTGATTATAATTGTCACTCATACGAATCGTATTGCATCGAAGGAACTGACTGTTCAAGGCACGTTTATCATATGACCATCGACTGAGTCTAAATACAAAAAAAATGTTCGTTATTAAAAAAAAAAACTGTCTATTTTATACCCATGCACACTATTATGTAGATAAGAATGGACACAGAAATATTTCTCCATTCTTGGTAATGTTACAGCTGTAATACAATACATATTTTCTTCGAAAGATAGTTTTAATTCAATTGGCACTGGTCCTTTGAGCTGTTCAAATGTGTCGGATAAGATTTTATTTGTTTCTAGTGGTATCATTACAATTTTCACAGACCAGTTAACATAAAACGAATATAAACATTGACTGGAAAGCATCGATAGTAAATTGTAAAGAACATCGGGACCACTCACATGTGCCACTAATATGAAGTTCGTTAATGAAAATAAAACATCACGTTCAAATAACTCATTAATTGATTTCACAGTCATGATGCATTCATTCCATTTTATATTAAGATAACGTAGATTCGGAGCAAGATGTCTATTAATGGGAATAACTCGACTAAAATGGATTAACAAGATTATTTTGCAACAGTAAAAAATGCGTCATTCATATCATTCAACTTCTTAGTGGAACATACGTTTTTCTTTCATTTATCTACGCAAGAGTCAAAAACACGAAAGAACAAACATTTCTTTCAGTTAAGATCATTCCATAATGTAATCGTGTCTAGTCATACTTATTTCGAAGATTTTCTATCTTTTAAATTGAGTATATCTTCGATATGACTTTTTCTTTCAGATTTTCTGCTAAACTACCTGCCTCCTGATTAGTGTTTAACAAATAATACTTCTGATAAAGCTATGAGAAAAATCCAAAAGAAGTCTCATAATAGAAACAAGTCAAATGTTTCACGACAAGTCTCAGTAAATTTTCTTTAATAATTATTTTTGCCTCCATTTTAACGACCAATAAGTTTCCGAAATACATTCTCTTTTATTACAAAGTAGTTTATACCCTCTATGAAAATCTCCATCTTTTTCTAAATCTTTCATCTTTGATTTTCTTAGAGACATTTTTCTAAAAGAATTCATTCGACATTGTCATCCATTTTACGACCTATTCTGGCCTTGTCTTTGAAGCTGCTCGATTTTTATTTAGGAATAGTTTTCGATTTTTCATCATTAATTTGAGTCTAATATGTTTAAATCTCAAGTCTTAAATAAATACTAAGGAAATGAAATACAGAGAAATGAAAAGTTTTTCCTTTGCAAGAATAAATCGAAAAATATCACAATAATAAACTCAAATACTAACAAAGTATATTCAACTTTGTTACTTCTTTCCGTAAGTGGAAAGGTCTAGTCATTACTTAAGAACAATAAAAATAGTAACTTTTATCTTAATCTCACCAAAAGTACATGATTTATATCAATCATTTTTACATGCATTCATCTATAATTGCATATAAGAGCTCATCATTTTGACTGATTTTCTCATATTTTTTTGTCTACATTTCAAAATCTAATATATCACTCATTTGTAACTTATGAACCGTCTGACATCTTTTCGCTATTATTAATATTCGACTATAAAATTGAATACAAATTATTAAAAATTTATATTGTCAGTTCACAGATAATTCGGTTTTAACTAGAATTTCTGATAAAATGATTAGATACATTCTCTTCTCTCATATACTTTACATTAAGTTCATAAATTAAAATATGTTATATTAAAGAAAGAAACTTACTTGTTATGACCTTGTTCTAGTGGATGATTAGGAGGTAGCCAAGGAGCACTTCGTTCAAAGCTGAGCTTTTTCAATTGTGGAAGATGCTCAAATAAATATGATAGAAAGCCTGATGAGCATTGTCGAAGTACAAGTGATCGTAAGTTTAAAAGATTAGTTTGAATAGACATAAAAGTTCTTTCAAATGGTAGAATGAGTTCAGTATCTAGAGTATAATGTATGTATCGCCAAAAACACAGATGACATACACATAATGAAGGAAATAAGTGAAAAATTCGTTCATAATATGCACCTTCAGGCACACCTATATACGTATATGCAGCACGATCAGTTGTTGGAAAGTGCATACTAAATATGATGAGAGAATTCATTGGTCACAATGAATTGAGAATCAATTCAAAAGAAGAACGTTTAATGTCAATTAAAGATAAATGACGAAGATTGATAAATTTAGATACATGTTCAGCTAACCATAAGTCATTATCAATAGCTGATGCATTTGAGACACATAATGAAATAAGTTGATTACAAATGTTTGGTTGTGATAAATATCTATAATAAAATTCGGTCACTGCTATATTCATTCCATTGAAACCCAAGTAAACGGGCATAGATGGCATGCTATTTATGATAGCAGCAAATCGTGAATTAAGATTAGAAAAAATATTGAATACTTCATGAAATTGGAAGTAAAGAAATATTTCATAGAGTAATTCGACGGAGAGATGTTCTAATGTTGTTGCCATAGTTTGTCGTAATATCATCATATTGATATTATGCATCATTCTTATACAATGGCTTTATGAACAATAGTACAAAGCATTATTGTTCTTTCTGACGATAGTCACCGCATAAGACGATATTATTATTGCTATTCGTCAGCTTCATAGGTCAACGTATATACAGTTTCTCTTTTCGATCATTTTTTTCCAATAGCGTGTTTATACGAGGTGATAATAAAATTTATCCGATAGGCCATGAATTATCCTGTTTTTTCTTATATGAAATGAAACTCATTTTTCTTATATCACATATATGACAACATTTTTCAAAAAAAAAACGCTGCATAAAAATTATGAATTATAATTAAAGCACTGATTACTTTTTTACCATTGTATATCATCATTTGACTTCCAATGATCATTTTTTCAATGCGTGAAATGTCAAAAAATATAAGACATCAAAATTCTATTAGTCTTCAATGAACTTTGAGGGTGTGGGTGGGTGTGGGTGCGGGTGTGGGTGTGAGCGTATGGGTGCGAGTAGGTGGGTCTCACTGCATAAGAGTACACCCACACCCCACCCACACCCCACAACCACACCCGCACACCCACACCCACACACACCCACATCCACACACCCACTCACACACCCACACCCCACACCCATGCACAAAAAGCGAAAAAAGGTTTACTTAGCTGACTGATTAGTGTCAAGCGAATAAAATAGTTGAAAAGATATGTTGCTATGTTTTGGTTACTCTGAAGCAATGAGAAGAAGAAAAATCTTTAGATCGAAAATCAAACTGGTGTGATGACGGCTTGTGGATTAGTTTCTGTGATGGAATCTAGAAAATTAAAAGAGAATTCATAGTTCATCTGAGTTGTATACTTACTGTTTTGTATGTCGGCTAGAATGGCCATAACGGCATCGTGTGTTGAAACATAGATGATACGATCCTCCGTCTTCCCGTAAAAATCCATCGAATCCAATGTATAACGAGCATCAGCTTGAAAAGATCGGTAATCAATAATGAAAAATTAGTTAACGCAGCTTCTTCTATGCTGAAATGTGGAACTCACATGTCTTACTTAGGTTAATTGTACTAATACAAAATAGGCAATGTGTAAAATGTACTAAGAGATAAGCAATGGTCAATAAACGCTCTGTCCTATGTACTTATATATTTTAAACAAAAACTTTGTTTTCTTTTATTTCCTCTGGCATTCTTTTTCCATTTTTCTTCTTGCTATCTGCTTTGTATTTATTTTCTTTTTTTTATTTCATTTGGCACAATTCATTATTATAAGTCTAATCATTGATTCAATAGCCAACTAAGTCCGTTGTGCAAGTTTGTTATGCCTACAGAAAACCTTTGCCATCTATTATTTATCTCGATGAACTCAGAAGCTCTGACATTGATTACTCCTGAAAGTCAGACTTCAATCAACTTATGTTTGCATTCTGATCATATAGTAGTTATGAGAAATAAAAATAGCATCATTGATATGTATCATATAATCGTTTATCTATGCAAAAATCAGAAACTAAGTTATTTAGAATTCTGAGAAATGTCATCAAGCCATTTAAATTTCAAGGAAGAATGTGCAATATTCTGAAACCTGCTAAGCTTTATTATTAATGTCATCTAGCGCCTATAATCCTGGCTGGTAAGGTTTGAAATAAGGCGGGGGTGAAGAAAGCTATAAAACTTCGACTTAAAACTTACATTGACTATTTTGTTCGAAAAAATACGTGAGTTTCACAAAAATCTCAGCTGAATAGTTAACTTACAACGACAATCGGATAGACATAGATGAATGTTTCGTTTTTTCATATCATTGTAAATCTAAAATGTATCACATGAATGAAATATACATCAGTATTCGTCTTTTTACGTTTCGTAAATCATACACACCTCAATGAGTAGTTTGACGCCCACACTATCGATAAAATTCATAGGTGAACAGTCGAGAACGACATATTTATCAGTAGTATCCTGGATCTGAATCGTTTTCGGTTGACTATGTGAGATGAGGGGTTGGTTTCCGAGATGTATACCGATTAATTCATAGAATTTTCGTTTGAAAAAAGGCGCATTACACGCATAAAGAGATCCATCAAAACGAAGAATTTTGATATTGAGATGTTGTTCAGCCTATCCAAAGACACTAGCTACATATCAAGAATTCTGCCCGAAACCAAATTGATCACTTACAGATGGAAACACTTTTATATTTTTATAGAGTATAGTATCACCTACTCGACCGAGGATAGCGAAGCGTGGCCTAGACAAAAAAAAGTTTACTTAGTCACTCACATACGACAAATGAGATTACCTTTGCGTACGAATCGTGTTCATGAGAAACGAAGTAGCTATGCCTACATAAACACCCATATCAACGTCAGATAAAACGACAGTCAAAAATGTGATAAACCAAAGGATCTATTGTATGAAAAAAGAGATGTTGCTATGATGAGATGTTTCACTATTGCTCATTCGACTTACGGCTTCCAGCATACTAATACGATAATAATAAGTAAAGTCAGTAACTTTAAGCAGGAGCCTTTTGAGATTGACAATGATAATACCGGCTAAACACGGCATTGGAAGAGATTCAAGAAGAGGTGCTAGCACTAGAATAACGGCAGCTAAAATCACAGAAGAAAAACCACCAATAAGTGATGTTTTGCCACCACTTTCTCCTTGTACCATTGAACGACTTAATGAGCCCGAACTTGGATAGCATTGAAAAAATGACGAGAAAATATTTCCCAATCCATAAGCAAGTAGTTCCTAATATTGAAAATAAAAAAGAAGGTTTTTTTTAGATTACTAATATCTCTGTGAATGGAAACTTGCTCAGTGAATATGCTAGCAGTGGATACTGAAAATAAGGTCTGATATTGATTAAGTCGCTATTCACATCCAAAGGTGCCATATCGTTTTCCAAGTGACAATCTCATGCGATAGGCAAGATTGAGAAAGCTTAAGATGCTCAGCATATACGCTTTCATTTAAAAGTCTATGAAAAGTTGCTTCAATTTTACAATATAATTTGAGTAGGTTCGATCTACTACTTTATTATTTTTTTACTGCTTCAAGGCATTCGTGTAATTTTTTTGATAGTTTGTAGTGTATGATATAATTAGCCACAATCGAATGATATGATGGAAAATGATGATTACAGTAAAAATAGCATTTAAATTGAAAAACAAACAAATTGAATAAATTCAACTAAATTAGAAGAGTCGATGCTAGTTTTCACACACTTAATCATAGAATACTCGATGCTGAACATATTCAAGTTTCTCAATAAGACCCAGCAAATGAAATTATCGGTTAGAAAAAAATTATTGTAATGAAGGGAAAGTTGAGCGTGACTATGAGTTAGAATATATTCTTCACGATAGAAAAATTAATCGTACCTGGTTCGAGCGTACTGTGTAGTCATACTTTCGAGCAAACATTTTAGCCACAGAGATATTGAGACATAGACTGACAACAGTAATCGTAATAGCCGATACAAGCAAAGATGAAATATTAGTAAAAGCTGGAACAGTTGGTGAAGGTAGGCCACGCTTAACATGACCAACTATCGAGACGCCGTGTTGATCATGAAGTTTCAGCAAGTATGATGTTAATGTACCCAAAATTACCTTCATTTTTCAATCAAGAAAATGATTGGTAGTTTCCGATGAATTTAGAATTGAAATTCGACTTACCAAAATGAGTTCAATGGGAATTATGATGCGTATTTTCTTCTTGTACCGCTCATTTAATTCTTTTACTACAAGCAGAATAATAATCGATGCCAATGTTATCTCCATTGATACGAAATTGATGCTTTTGGAAATCGATGCAATAACTCGAACATAGTAACTGGGTAACTTAAAAAGGCCTTGAATATCGTTTGGATTGGGTATCCCAAAAGCATGTGGGATTTGACTAGACAAGACATGTACAGCAGCTCCCACATTCAAGCCACTTATGAAGGGCTCCGTCAAGTAAGTCGTGATAAAACCAAGCCGAAAAAGCCATAGTATGAGCTGAAAGAAAATTTCATGCTCGATTTGTATTTCATACAACTTCGATTATGCACTTGAATGAGTCCAACAAAAAATGCAAGCGTAGTAGCTATGCCCAACTTTTCATTCATAAGAGCATCATTCGATATTTCCGAAATATACGATATGTTTGATTCTGCAATTGTGTTATTGGTGTTTGAAGTCGATGATTGCAGTGTGATTCCGTCGATTACTTTTGCTGTCAATAATGATATGATGGCAAATGTACCTTCGTAAGAGAAAAGGTGGACATTTCTGTTTAGAAACTCTTCAGATGAGAGAACTGACCGATCGATAAATGTGGACATGTACCAAAAATCATGTAGACAATAACAGGAAAGAAGGAAACATATAATCCTATAGGGAAAATATGTGTTTTTCAAAACAATATTTGATTTTTATGTTGTGTATTATATTTTACCATTAGACGCCGACAAACCAGCCAGGACACCATATGCGATACCTACAACCATCGTAAACAACGATCAATATTTGTTTTATTCTGAAGAAAATCCATGTGTATGAAACCCCTGTTCTCCTTTAAAATGTTGTTTCGGTTTGAATGGAAATATTATAGTGGCTATCAAAATTATTCGTCGATAGCGATAGCATTTTGTTTTTTTTTTCTTTTCCTATTTCACTCTAGTACACTTTCATATCGAGTTTATTTAAAAAACAAACGAAGGAATAGAATTTTTGATTTTTTCAAAAACTATGCATTCAAGTTATCAGAAAGCTTTTTCATCACTTTGTAGCTAAAAAGAATTCATTTTCAGCAACTAACCAGTTTTCCATATGATACGAGAGAAAATTAGAAGAAAGAATAAAAGAAATGCTTTAAAGTCTTATCTGAGCAAAAGTTAGTGTATAGGAAGCGACACCAATCCAGTGATCGTATCTCTGTATAGACTAGTATAGGCAAAACTCATCGGCTGTCTTTGATGTGCACGAACCGAGATATTTGAATTTTAAAGTATTCACGATATATGCCAGATGCATGTAGATCAATATTTCACCGAAGTTTGTTTTTCTTCTTTTATCACGATGATTGGATAGAACTCATTGAGTTGCATAAGAAAAAGGATTTTTCATAGTAAAATTAAGAACTTTTTACAGAAGCCAGCATTTTGGATTCATTCTTCCTTATGTTTGAAAATTATGGTATCTGAAACGTTTTTCCTGAACTTTTTAAAATGTGAAACATACTTTTCTTATGTGATTCTGCACTGTCCTTTCCCTTGCTCTCTTCCTTCCTTCATTGACCACCCGTACCCTCATTGTGGTTTGGCTAGAAACGACTTTTGCAAGCAATTTCACAATAAACAGCATTTTGTACGGGTAGCGATTTCGAATATTCGAAAGATGTTATTAAACAGCTGGGAACTTTTAGAAGACCTCTCAAAAATATTTAATCCTTAATTGTATGCTTTGGAGATTTTGAAGATTTCAGTAGTAAAATTTCAAGAAATGAACGAAGGATGTATATGTTTAGATATGCTTATTGAACTTTCACCGCTATCACTGAGTCATGCTTTCTGATGAAAGATTATGCAAAAAACCTATCAGAGAAAGGCTACAGACTACTGATTCTTAAATCATTGTATGCAGTTTAATGAGCTATTTGTAGCGATTTGTAAACAAACGCGAAAAATCAGTGCTATTACGTTTTGTTAGTTGAACATTGTTTTCACATGAATCGCTCCAAAATGAAGATGATAAATAATGCAAAATTTGGATAGTGCAGTTTTTATTGGAAAAAGTCAAATGGGTCGATGTGCGATCTTGCCCTTACGTCGAGAAAATTAGTCAAAATTGCCTCCAGGAAGTCAATTGTTGACATTACCGAAGTATTTGTTTTCCGATGTTTCTTTATACTATTTGATATGATAAATTGGAATCTATTGTAAAACTCTTAATCTAGACTCGTTCAGTCAAAATACAGGAAGAATGAAAATGTGTGCTTCCCCTGCAATTATGATTCATTATCGTTATTTTGAGCCGCATTTCATAAAAATTATATTGCCAACAAAAATTTTTAATGCCAAAATGTTCTACAAAAAAAAACTTATAGAAACTCTCATATTTTCAATAGAATCAGTTGCCACCTTTTAAAATGCTATAAATTTCTTATGTAAGGAGTCTTATAAGTTTTCATTCGAATGAAATGACGCCTTTGAAAAATAGGAAAGTACCGATAGAACACATCCTTGTTACATAGTGCTTCACTTCTGTTCTCTTCGGTCTAACTAGTATACAGATGTTCTTGTTCTTTTCTTTTTCTATTCATCTGTTGCACGTATACTCTTTTTCGTTTTACTCACTTTTCCTAACTGACGTCTTTGTTGCGTAAGAAGAACCATTGTCTTATTCTTTCTATTATTCATTTTCTACACAGACGGACGATGCTTCTCGACTTCTTCTGTAGTCCGTCTATTGTCTCTTTTCAATGTATATATACCTGCTGTTTTCTTCAATAAAGGGATCAGATATTCATTCATCCAAAAGATGATATATATGTAACTATCCTTTTTTTTCTTACCTTGAGGAATATGCATGATTGCCACTGTTATACCTGCCAGAATATCTCCTAAAAGATACTTTCGTATTTTGTACTCTTTGAGACACCGAATGAGTGGTATTGAATCGAGGAATGCGTTGGCAATGTCAACTGTACTCAAGTTATGGTAATATTTCTTTACCGAATCTTTTAGACGATTTATTGGTGACTTGCGCAGTCGAACTACTCCGTACTGATCAATGAGCGATTGCATTCGACGTCTTTGGCGTCTGTAAGGCAGATATTCGCTCAATTCCTCGTCAGTTTCATCGTTAGTGATGTTGGATGACATGTTTTGCTAGTTATCTGAAACTTAAAAAACTGTATTAATAAAATACAATACGAATTTTGAGATAATATGTGATAAATCGAATGCAGAGCATAACGATATTATACGTTTTGACCAATTGAATCACCTAGCTAGCTGTTTTGATTTCTGATATTTATTCGATATTGACTCTTTTATATCGGAGCTATTATAAAAAACTGTTTGTTTATCCTAACACCTATCTTACGATTAGTAGCGACACGTTTACTGTAGTTTGACAGTTTCTGGCATTCTGTTCTGCCATGCACTCCTTTCTAATGTCTAAAAATACTCTGCTTTGCGTGTTTCGAAAAATAGTACAACGAAGAAAACTCAATAAACTTTGAGTTGATACTAAACTATTTTATGACTAGACACACGTTGACAGATATCTGATTACTTTAATGGCAACTGTCTAATATAAGGGTTTCATTAGATGTTTTGTTTGATAGAGCTTTATTTCTCTTCATGAGTTCAATCTAGTATATAGTCAGCAACAGAAGTTTGAGCGATTTTTTTCCCTTATACAAAGAAGTACTGATCGGATTCAAATGGAGATACAGATAGTGTGAAAGACCGACTCCATGACATAGTATTGAAGGGAGCTCTATCTATCGATATAGATTTTTCCATAATTAAAATAATTCTTCTCAAGAGAAAATAGATTTTAGCAGTTTCCAGTATTTTAGATTTCCAACCCAAGAGATTTGCGCTAAAATGAAAAACTCCAAAGACTAAATAGTCAATAGAGAATTTCACGCTCTATCAGTTTCCTATGGTACATAACCATCTGCGATAAGAAAGAATTTGTAAGAACTAATCAAACTTTCGAGATGTAAACCAACTTTGAGAACAAAACTTCTTTTAGAGACGGATAGAGCGTAAAAATTTTCTATCGACTAGTCTTTTTAGTTTTTCATTTTAGTGCAAATCTTTTTTTTAAGGAAATGCGAAATACGAAAAAGTACTAAAACTTATTTTCGTTTGAAAAACAAAGTCATTTTAATTATGAAAAATATGTGTAGATAAATGACGTTCTCTTTTATACTGCATCATCTAGCCGATCTTTCGTATTATCGATATAATGGATTGAATCAGATCAGTACCTCTTTATCTGAAAGAAAAATCGAAAAAAACAAATGTATAAAACATTTCAGAGAAAAATATCATCTAAACTTCTGTCGGTAGCTATATTTTCCATGGATGTCTTAGATCCAGTTTTAGATGTTATTTTAGCTATTTTTATCAGTTACTTTTCTTGTTCTGAACAATAACCTTTATCTAATGAGAGAAAACGAACATATATGATAATACATATAACATAATTTTGTATGACACGTCTTATGTACCTGTCATAACAGGATGATTATCAATAATAGAAAACACGTCTTTAGAAACTAGTATACTGGATTCTCTGGTGCGGATGTAGGCATAAATAGGTGAGATAGTACTTCCGAATGGACAAATTTTCAATGGGATAAGATTTCACAGCGCATGTTTTAATTCTAATAATAAGCACAAGGGCAATGACCGGCTTTGTTACAGCTTGTCTAATTATATGTATTTTTCGACGTTCCAGTCGAATTAATTTTGTTACCAAAAATTTTCATAACTGAAAAGAAATAAAAGATTCAAAGGACGGGAGACGTTTTAGGTGCATTTTGGCCCCTCAAGAAAATGAAGGCAGAATTACTTCAAACTTTCAGCAAATACTCAGCTATATGCCAGTAGTCA